ATTAAAGTGGCACAAAGATGATTCCTAAGGACCAAAGGGACCAAAGGGTCGAGAAGCCCCACCAACTGAGACCAAAGCCCCCAAGTCTGAGTGTCTGACACAGGGCATCAGGAAAGGCCCTCTGCGGGTCCTCTGGCGGCCATCTGTGAATCACCAGAAATCAAACTGAAATGGAGCCCACTGACCCATGGAAATAGAGGGAGATACCAGGAAACAAATGATGACTTGTCATTTTTTGTGAGGAGTCCCCAAAGAATCACAGGATGCAGGTAGGTAATTATCACTACAGTCAAGATCCATCTAAAAAAAATGAATTTAAGCTACTTTGAATCTGTACATCACTTTGGGTAGTATGAACATTTTAACAATATTAACTCCAATCCAGGAACACAAGATGTCATTCCATTTATTTGTCTGTTCTTTAATTTCTTTCAGCAATTTTTGATAGTTTTCAGTGTACAAGTCTTTCACTTCTTTGGTTAAGTTTATTCCTAAGTATTTATTTCCTTTTGATGCTATTGTAAATGGGATTATTTTCTTAATTTCATTTTTTGATTGCTAACGATTAGTTACAGAAACACAACTGATTTTGTGTGTATTTTGTCTCCTGCAACTTTGCTTAATTCATTTATTAGTACTAACAATTTGCGTGTGTGTGTAATCTTAGGGTTTTCTATATATAAGATTGTGTCATATGGGAACGGAGATAAATTTACTTCTTTTCCAATTTGGATGGCTTTTATTTCTTCTTCTTTTCCAATTTGGATGGCTTGTATTTCTTTTTCTTGCCTAATTGCTCTGGCTAGGACTTCAAGTACCATGTTGGATACAAGTAGTGATAGTGGCATCCTCAGCTTGTTCCCAGTCTTAGAGGAAAATATTTCAGTTTGTCACCATTGAGTATAATGTTAACTGTGGGTTTTTCATATCTGGTCTTTATCATGTTGAGGGAATTTCCTTCTACTCCTAGTTCGTTGAGTGTTTTTGTCATAAAAGAGTGTTGAAACTTGTCAAATGCTTTTTCTGCATCAATTGAGATGATTACATGGTTTTCTCCTTTCATTTTGTCAATGTGATGTAGTTCATTGATTGATTTTTCTATGCTAAAACATCTTTGCAGGGTCCAGCCCAGTGGTGTAGCAGTTAAGTTCTCATGCTCCCCTTCAGTAGCCTGGGGCTCACCAGTTTGGATCTTGGGCATGGATCTATGCACTGCTCATCAAGCCATGCTGAGACAGCGTCCCACATAGACCAACCAGAAGGATCTACAACTATGACATGAAACTATCTACTGGGGCTTTGAGGAGAAAAAAGGAAAAAAGGAGGAAGATTGGCAACAGATGTTAGCTCAGGACCAATCTTCCTCAAAGAAAAAAAAAAAGGAATGATCATCATTAAAAAAAAAAAACTCTTTGCATTCCAGGAGTAAATCCCATTTAGTCATGGTGTATAATTCTTTTAATCTATTGCTGAATTTGGTTTGCTAATATTTTGCTGAGGATTTTTGCATAAATATTCATCAGGCATATTCACCTATAGTTTTCTTTTTTTGTAGTATTTTTGTCTGCTTTTGATATCAGTGTAATGCTTGCCTCATAAAATGAGTTTGGAAGTGTTCTCTCCTCTTCAATTTTTTGGGAGAGTTTGAGATGGATTGATGTTAATTTGTTAAGTGTTTGGTAGAATTTTCCAGTGAAGCCATCTAGTACTGGGCTTTTCTTTGTTGGGAGGTTTTTAATTATTGATTCAATTTCCTTGCTCTTTATGAATCTGTTCAGACTTTTATTTCTTCATGATTCAGTATTGGCAGGTTCTATATTTCAATTTATTGGTGTGTAATTGTTCATAGTCATCTCTTTTGCTCCTTTGTATTTCTGTGGGATCAGTTGTAATGTCTCCTCCTTCATTTTTGGTGTTTGTCATTTGAGTCTTCTCTCTTTTTTTTAGTTACTATAATTAAAGGCTTCTCAATTTTGTTGCTCTTTTCAAAACACCAACTCTTAGCTTCATTGATTTTTTTCTATTGATTTTCTATTCTCTATTTCCTTTATTTCTGCTCTAGTATTTATTATTTCCTTCCATCTGCTAACTATGAATGTAGTTTGTTCTTTTTCTATTTCCTTAATGTGTAAAGATATGTTATTGATTTCAGATATTTCTTCTTTTTTTAATATAAGCATTTACAGTTGTAACTTTCCCTCTTAGCACTACTTTCACTGCATCACATAAGTTTTGATATGTTGTGTTTTCACTTTCATTTGTCTGAAGGTATTTTCTAATTTCCTTTGTGTTCCCTCTTATATTTTTATTACATTTAGACATACATTTATTTTATTTTTATTCCCATGCATTGGAATGCAAAATCAGAAGACTTTTACTTTCTAGGAAAAGTGACATGAGAAAGAAAGATATCTGGTCTTGTAAACAATATATACAATTTTAGTTCATTTGTTTGATCATATTCACATCCCTCTATTGAGGTTAACCTGAAGATGAAAATAAAAGGAATCCAGGGGTAAAATACAGCATAAAAAGGGAATATGAAAAAATTCCCAATACAATCTCAAGTGAACAACAAAAAAAGCTCATTTTCCAATGTTTGATAGACTGAGAATTATGGTTTGGGCAAAATTGCCTTGTATTCTCAGGGTTTGATGATTATATTGAACCCAAAATCCAATAAAAATGTGTTGACTGGATAAACTACTAAAACATATTGAATTTTGCAACATACATTTTTTGGAAAGAAGACTCATCTACTATGCAAATCCCTATGTTCATTTTAGAACTTAGATCATTTACTTATTCAGTGATATAAAAGCTTAATTGAATCATGAAAAATAATGAATAATAAAATTTCTTTGTCTATTTAAAAAAATTTCATCCATTCTAGAATTTCTATCCTCATATAGACACCTGACTTTCTAACAGTGTCATCTAAAGATTATCAAATGATTTGAAGCCTAGGTTTCTGGGTGGTGGAAAAATTATGTCACAACTATTTACAGTTTGCACACATTCTGGGGATTTTGTCCATACTTGACAAGGGCAGGAAATGTGGATTGATAATTTGGGGGACATAGGCAACTGCCCACCTCAAAAGTAATGTGTTAAATTGTCTGGTTACTGTGAGCTGTGTGAATTAGGAAGAGTGTGAGTTTAGATATGTGGCTCTGTGTATGACACCAGGCTAGTTGTTTTCTATTATGACAAAGCAGAGGGCAAATTAGAGATGAGGTCATAATTGTGAGTTTAATATAGTGGTAGGCAAAAGCTGAAATTGTGCTATCTTGCAGTTTGAATTCCCAGAGTCTCTTGAAGAACCTAGGATCCTAGCAGCTTTAGCAATGACCTCAGTAGGCTATATTGACACTCAGTAAGAGCAGAGTAGAAATATTAGCCATTTTCTCTTATAATCCTAGCATATGCGGCCATGATGAAGCAAAATAGCTTGGTCATTCATGAACACCTTCCAGTAGGAAGAGAAAATCTGAGAAACTGCTTTAGTAAAAATTATTTATTGAGTGATTACACTGGGCCTGGTGCTGAGGATAACACAGTGAATAACAGAGTCCAGTTACTAACGAGCTGATTTGTCAATGATAGTCTCATACATACTGTCTTAGTCTAGTTTAGGCTCCTATACAACAAAATACCACAGACTGGGTAGCTTAGAAAAACAGAAATTTATTGCTCACAGTTCTGGAGGCTGGAAGTCCAAGATCCTGGCTGCAGCAAGTTCGGGTGACGGCCTACTTTTGGGTTGCAGACTTCTCATTGTGTCCTCACAAGCTGAAAGGAGCCAGGGATCTCTCTGTAGCCTTTTTTCGTAAGGGCAGTAATGCCACTCATTCTATTCAGGGCTGGGCCTTTATGAGCTAAGCACCTCCCAAAGGCCCCGCCTCCTAATACCATCTCATCAGGCATTAGGATTTCAAGATATAAATTCGGGGGAACACAAACTATAGCACCTCCAAAGCTCAACCCTGTCCAACAAAATCTTATTCCTTAGTATTCATTTTTCTAATTGGGTTTTCTTGTGTATCATATAAGAAACCTTGACATTGAGCTCATGGGAGATATACAAAATATATTCAAGATCAGCATTATAAATAGATGGCTCACTAGAGAACTTTCCTTCCATCATTTGCTTGATCTCAAAATCATATTGTGAGAGGTGGCCTTCACTTACTTATGAACTGACATGGGCTTTCCGTGGATGTTGCTTACGTTTAAACCTCAGTGCTTCTTTGTGTGAGGTGGACTTTGAGAATTAAAAGCAAATAGTTTATATTTTATCAGTTAATTCTACTAAAGTTACACAACCATAAATAACTATGTCAATTGCAGAAAAGAAAAAATATTGTCAGAGCATCTAGCAGCTAATGAAGTTAAAATTACTTTTTGATATGAAGCAAAAGTTAAGTACCTAAAAATACATGTTAAGAAAATAATTTGCATTTTCAATTGTTTTTAGCTGTTCAGAAAGATTTCTAAGTATATCATAACATTGATATTATGGTTATGTATTTATATAAAATTTTAATTAGAGTATGTAAATGATACATTGCTATTTATATGAGTAAATATATTACATTAAAATCTCTCTGCAAACTTAGTTATAAAGTTATGTTAAATGTCAATAGCTTTTAAATTTAAGTTTTACCTTAAAATTTTAGGTCATCTTTAATCTTGCATTGAATAAAATGAGTAAAGTTTGTACTTTCATTTTCTCTTTATAAAGTAGACATATATAGAGAGAACATAAACAGATACACCATATATCTGTGTTACTAAGTTTTCTTAGGGGGTTCAATTAGAAAAACATCTAAAAAGACTCTGGAGGCAGGAAGGAATAATCAAAAAAATATATGGTTGAGAAACACTGTTCTAAACCCATGTAGAAAGTGCATAAAGCAAAGCAAAAACAGAAGTAGAAAGTAAGGGAAACATTCAGAAAATGGAAACTCACATAGGCCATATTTAAGACACATGCACAAATGAAGGTCTTCAGAGAACCCAAAGACAAGGGTCACAGGTCACCCACCTCAGCCAGACTAGCAGCATCTGCAAGATCCCCAATAGCCCTACCCTTTTCCTTCCTGACGGCCCTGGTGGTGCTCAGCTGCCACTCCATTTGCTCTCTGGGCTGTGACCTGCCTCACACCCACAGCCTGGGCAACACAAGTGTCTTGATGCTCCTGGAACCAATGAGAAGAATCTCCCCCTTCTCTTGCCTGAAGGACAGAAATAACTTTGGGTTTCCCCAGGAGGTGTTTGATGGAAACCAGCTCCAGAAGGCTCAAACTGTCTCTGTGGTCCATGAGATGATCCAGCAGATCTTCCACCTCTTCAGCACAGAGGGCTCGTCTGCTGCCTGGGATGAGACCCTCCTGGATAAATTCTACACTGGACTTGATCAGCAGCTGACTGACCTGGAAGCCTGTCTGACCCAGGAGGTGGGGGTGGAAGAGACTCCCCTGATGAATGCGGACTCCATGCTGGCTGTGAGGAAATACTTCCAAAAAATCACTCTGTATCTGCAAGAGAAGAAATACAGCTCTTGTGCCTGGGAGATTGTCAGAGCAGAAATCATGAGATCCTTCTCTTCATCAACAAACTTGCAAGGTTAAGGAGTGAGGAATGACACTTTCTTCAACATGGAAATGATTCTCACTGACTAATGTCACGCTTCCACATGTTCTGCCATGTCAACGACTCAGTTCTGCTGTAATCCTGACCTGAATTCATTCAAGTTTGTAAAATGTTTTCAAGAGTATTAATGAATATTGCATTTAACCCTGTGGACACTAGTCTCATACTGATGACCATGCTGATCTATTTAAATAGTTTATCTAATTATTTATAATATTTAAATTATTTTTGTTCATATAATAATATGTGTACCTTTACATTGTGGTTTAATATAACAAGATATATTCTTTATATTTAGTCAATTTATTGTTTTCTTTGTTCATTACATTTTTAATATAGAAAATACCTTGTATTTCTTTATTCTTTAAAAAAGAAACACCACACTTGAGTGTGCAACCTAGTTAAAGAATGGATGGCACAATTCATATACCCATCATTGTTATGTTCAAGCCAGAAGTAAAAATGGACTTCCTCTAAGCCAGGTTGTGTGTTGCCCTCAGGATGCTGAGGTGGACATAACAAATATAGTTCCTGCTTTCTCATATGTTTGACTTTTGTAGGGAAAGTAACCTAAAACCAATAATCAGCTGATTGATAATTAAATATTAATTATTTTTAAAATTAATACTAATATTAGAAATAAATATCAGTTAGGTTTAATGCTATAATGAGAAGAAGGGAAAAAATGGAATTCTATCAGCAGAAGCTGGATTGAGTCATGTCAGGATATAAGAACAAAAGCAGTAGATATTCTCTTTATTTGCCTGGTAGATATCTAAGTGCAAGTGTCCACTGGATAGTTCCATTTGCAATTTACAAGCAATTCCATGAACTGTAAAGTGTGGGGAGGGAAGTGGTCACATGGCAAGAGAGTATGGAATGAGAAAACGACTTAAAATTGATTCCTAGGACCTTCAACTTTAAAGGGAGGGAAGAGCCTCAAAAGAAACAGGTGGAATAGCCATGTGCTAACAGGATGAGAGAGAAAGGTGAGAAGACCATGTTTAAAGACTGAAACTGCTTAGAAGACTCAACATGCCCATGAAAATGTGGATGGAAACTGCCCACCACACTTGGGAAATAGATGGCATTGATCTCAGGGAAAGTTGATTAGGTAGAATTAATCACCAGAAATCATTTTGGAGTGGGAGGACGGGTGAATACCAAAAGTTAATGACAATATATAGAAAATAGCTTTGAAAAGTTTGCCTTCTGAAGTGGAGGTGAGAAATAAGGTCTGACCTAAAATAGAGTGTGGATTATTTTTTCTCCACATCATTTTCCCTTTTGGAAATATGTTGCCTCTGGATAGATTTCATGGATTTAATATATTGACAAATCATATTAATATGTTTAATGTTTTATTTACTTTAAATCGTGACATATTTAATTACTTACAATGATAATTTATTATTATTTTGATTAGTACCATGTTGAATGTCACTGAGCTACTCTATGGATTGAAACCATCCAGCAAATGGGGAAACAGAACTGACATTCATGAGAGCTGGTTTGGTGGAATTAATGAGCAGAAACCACACTGGAGGAGTGGAAGGGTGATAAGAGAAGAGAAGAACTCCCATTGTAATTTTTTTCACCTGGGGATTCACTTTATTTCTTTCATCCTATTCAGACCGACATTTGTTTTCCTTTTGTCTCAGTGCATCCAAATGCCAGGACAGCTTTCTAAGAAAGTTGAGTGGAGAAAGAAAAAAATGATGTATCAAAAATGATGGAAAATAATGGTACAGGCCCATTATGTTTCCATTTTTATTTTCCTATTTTGGTACTAACCTCAAGATGAAATAGAAAATATCTCAGAAGCAGCTAGACAACCCTTGCCGAGAACAATGCTAAATTAAAATGAATATATAAAATTATAAAGACTCTGAAACTAGTAAACCATTGGTGACCTCTGGGAGAGTTGATTTGGTAGAATTAATCCCCAGAAACTATACTGGAGTAGGAGGATGGGTGAATAAGAGAAGTTAATGATGATATATAGAAAATAGCTTTGATAAGTTTGCCTTCTGAAGTGGAGGACAGGACATATTTAGTTGCTTACTCTCCTTGGTAACCATTCTCTGCTTCTGTCTGAGAAGTGCATGATACTCGTCCACCTTGGTCATACACAAGCCTCTTCAGCACTCACATCGCAACCATTGGTTGCAAAGACAGAGAGGAGAAGAGATTCTTCACTGGACTCTATCAGAAGACAACAGGAAGTGTAGTCTGGGCTGGAGGTAAGAAACGGAGTTGTCCTTGGGAGTGAGAAGAGCAGGCTGGCCTGAAGAGGTCTCCTGGGGAATCAGTGAGGTCCTGAAGGAGGAAAGTCAGTGCCCATATGACTGGAATCTGTCAGGTGCTTTTTGTTTATTCTTAATGATTTTGAAATAAAGACATTTTAACTGGAAAAAAACTGAGATAATTTATTATTAAAAGATCCTTGTTATAATAGATGTTAGTACTTTTCTTTATATGAAAGAACAAACAGCTGAAGGCCCAAATTTAAGGATGTCTTAAAGAGGAATGCTGTTGTAAATATGTGGTTACATCTAAACAATCATTGACGGCATAAACACCAATAATAATTTTTAGGAAATAATTTTTCTAATTTTTAGGAAATAAAACAGGGTAGAACTAGAATACTGTGATCATAATTAAAGTATTGTTGGATTTTTCCATAAGTGAGTAAAGATATTGATTTTTCTTTGGTCTTTTTGAAAAGTCTATTGAAACTATGTATTGTTAAATAACTAGGCAAAAAGAAGAGATGTAAAGCACATAAAAGAGGGGAAAGCTTAATAAATCAGAAAATATAAATATGAACATGTAATATGATAGAAGTAAATCTAAATACATCAGCAATCACTATAAGTGGCCTAAATTTTACAGCTGGAGAAATAGGTTTTTGGGATACCTCAAAAACAATTTTCAGTACTTCCACTACTGATTATGATGTAATTACAGAGACTGGTTTTACCTCTCATCTTAACAACAAAAAGAAGAAAATACATGGAACAATACTTTTCAGACAAAGGATAATGTAGGACAGGACAGTAATCCCTGAAAAAGGGAAACAAATGAGGTGAGCTCTGTAATTGTTCCAGTTTACCTCCTGTCGAGAAATCACAGGTTGTGCAAGGAAGGGGTAACCCAATCAGGCGTATTGAGTTGTTATTCTTAAACTAAAGAAAATTCGAGTTAAAAATAAGCTTCCAAGAGTCTTCAGTTATTGGATTAACAAAGTTATTTTACTATATTTCCTTGAAGAAATCACTCATAAAATCTTAGACTTTTTTTTCAATTGGTGGAAATATCTATTCCCTTCTAACTAATGAATAGGGATTTTGTCTGTTATTCTTTAGAATTTAAAGTCAGTTTAATGGCCTCATACCATACCCCTTTGCCCTACAAAACAATAGACAACAATCCTTTGGCATTTGAAGTGGAACTCAGGATCCTTTGTCATCTCATTCTCTTTGTAACCTTGGGCCCTCCAGGACCAGTTCAACTGACCGCATCGCTTGTCAACAGAGCGACTAAGAATTGCCTTTCAGAAAATATGCAGTCATGTAACCAGGGCATGGGCAAAAGAAGAAATCTTGACCAGAAATGACCGTGGAGCCAAAGATCCTCTTTCCCATGGAACCCAAGGACTGGGACACGACCGGAACTTGAAAGTAGGACTCTTATAAGAAGCAAGGTATCCCTCATTCAGGAAGATCTGGTGTTAAAATTCCTTCCCCACTTCATCATAAATGTTTAGAACCCTGTCATAAATGCTAGCCTGTTCTCCCTAATCTCTTAAATTTCACCCCAAATCCTGAATCAGGGAGACAGATCTGAGGGCACACACCCCCTGTTCTCCCTGAAGGTCAATCTTGCAGAATAATGCTGATCTCTTTTCCCATAGGCTGACGCTGTAATTAATTGTCTTGTTTATGTGCATTGGGCAAGTGAACCCCAATTTTCTGTGGTAACAAATTGGTGACCATGAAGTGACAAGGTCCTGTGACTGGCTGCCCAAGGCTCTGGAACACCCAGGGGGGGTTGGGTCCTTTCATTAACCCTAAGTGGTTGTCTAGACAATTTTGTCTAGAGGCTTGACTGATTAGATTCCTGTTTTTGTGCTGCAGAGCTCCAGGCCCCAAGGCACTTTTCTTCCTTTGGGGGAAGAAACAGCTTCTGGATCAAGATGTCTCTCAGCTCTGGGTGAGTAACATTAAGAAAGCGACTGTCCCTTACCTCACCTCTCTGGTTTGATTTCTTGGAGATATGGGTTTAGTTTGTATTCTGAGGAATTTTGGCAGGCTGAGACCTGAACCTGGGGACTGAACCACACAAGGTAATTAGAGGCAGGATAAAAGTTGCTCCCAGATCTAGGCAAGTCTTTGCTCTGGTGCAGAGTTGCTCCTGGCAATCTGGTTTTGGGTAGCTCCTGGCACTGGTTCTGAGCTACTTCTGGAAAACTAGCTAGTATTCTGGTCTGTGTTATGTGTAGAATTGTATTGTGTGTTAATATTTGTCTGAATTGAGTTGGCTCTTTTGGGGACTGAGTTTCTCAGTAACCATAACTAACTCTAGAAATTACCTTGTTTGTTGTGTCCACCTTGGGAAAAGCCCCCTAAAATGGGGATAACATAATCAGCTGTCAAGATAACCCAGGATAATTTAGAATTACAGCTTCTACTTTGGTGTCCTTTTGAGCTTTTGAACTGAGAAAGAAAGAAATCTTTAGAGTCAAGAGTCAAGAGCTCTACCTTTTGACCTAAAGGTTCCAGAAGCTATAAATGTTTACAAAGAACTGCAGAATCTTACCAAATTTGTTTTGTGTTCTGCAGGCTTGGCTTCATAATAGTCATGTTTGGGGGTGGGGAGGGGGGTCCCAAAACTATGGTTGGACGAAAATGCTGTTGCACTCCATTTTGGTCAGAGATGGTCAGGCAGAAATGTGGGATGCACTCCTTTTTGTGGC